CGCCATTGCACTCCAGCCTGGGTAACATGAGTGAAAGTCCGTCTCAAAAAAAAAAAATAAATAAATAAAATAAAATAAAATCTTCAAAGTGTTAAGGGAAGGACAGCAAAAAATTTCTATCCAGCTAAATAGCTAAACTAAGAGTTGAGAGTAAAGATGCACACACACACCTCTCATTAGAACTATTAAAAGAGCTACTTCAACAATAAGAAAAAGCCCAGAGTGATGGTGTCATACCTCTATTGGAAACACAGAAATTAAACGATAAAAAATCACATTTCAACAACAAAAATGAATATATTTGAATTAATATACCTATATACGTTTTAAAAATACTAGAACTAGTTGGATGCAAAGGTGTATGCCTGCAATCCTAGCTATGCAAGAAGCTGAGGTGGGAGGACTGCTTGAGCCCAGGGGTTTAAGACCAGCTTGAGCAACACAGTGAGACCGTATTTCAGAAATCAAAACAAAACAAACCCAGAACTGTAACAGGCATACAGAAGAGAAACTGTATTCACTACGTCTTAAGTTTTCATAAAGGAGAGAAAACTACCAGTTTTATTCCTAGATATAAGCAACACACAATTTAAAATATGTATTTTTTGATTGCTTTTGTTTTGGAGATAGGGTCTCATTCTGTATTTTTTTCCCACTTCCTGCTTGATGAACATCCATGTTTTTTAGTTTCAAAGGCTTTTTTCAAGTCTTTGCTCCTTTGCATAGGCTGGAGTGCAGTGATATGATCTTGGCTCACTGCAGCCTCCACCACCCAGGTTCAAGTGATTTTCCTGCCTCAGCCTCCCCAGTAGCTGGAACTACAGGAGAACACCACAGCACCAGGCTAATTTGTGTCATTTTGATACAGAGGGGCTTTCACCATGTTGGCCAGGGTGGTCTCTAACTCCTGACCTCAGGTGATCCACCCATCTTAGCCTCCCAAAGGGCTGGGCTTACAGCTATAAGCCACCGTACCTGGCCCTTCTCCTTAAATCTTATTTCCAAAGTTAGTATATAAAAGGCCAAAGCCCCACTTAATTCTGTTGAACTGCCTATTCTGGAAGGAGACAGCCACCCTGTGAAAAATGACACTCTTCTGAGGCTGCTGCAGGCGCCATGCATAGGTGCTTTGTGGACAGCCACAGATGAGCCCTCTGTTGACAGCCAGCGCCACCTGCTGACCTTGTGAGCAAACCATTTTTGGAAATCTAGCAGATAAGCCTGCAGATGAGTAGAGACCCAGTCGGGAAGAACGAGCCCAAGGGAAAACTTCCCCGCCATGGCTTCACTCAATTTCTGACCCACAAAACCAGGAGACAAGTAAAATGGTTGTTTCAATCCACTGAGTTTGGGGAGTAATTTGTTACAAATCAATTGTAATTAGAGCAGATCTTGATAAAGAAACACACATTTCTTGCTGTTCTGGATATCCTCACTACTCAATCACACAGATCCCCATCTGTGTGATGGGAGCCAAATCCCAGAATAAACAGCTTCATGTTTTTTGCCTTTAGGCATTTTAACGTAAGGACACGGTGTTTGGTTGGTTTTGTTGTTTTGAGACAGGGTCTCTCTCTGTTTGCTGAGGCTGGAGCACAGTGGCTTGATCTCGGCTCACTGCGATTTCCACTTACCCAGTTCAAGCCATCCTTCTGACTCAGCCTCCCAAGTAGCTTGGACTACAGGCGCACGCCACCATGTCTGGCTAATTTTTGTACTTTTGGAGGAGATGGGGTTTTGCTATGTTGGCCAGGCTGGTCTCAAACTCCTGGCCTCAAGTGATTCATCTGCCTCAGCCTCCCAAAATGCTGGGATTACAGGTGTGAACCACCATGCCTGGCGGGGACATGGTGTTTGGGCCTCTTGCAATCATCTTGTTCCCATAAGGAAAAAGCCAACAGCCCTAATATTGAACCAGAAAATTGAAGGGAAGAAGAGTATCAGGTAGCAGAGGTATATCCTCCTAGCCATATTCTCATCTTTAGCATTCAGGAGATGCAAAAAGATACATGGATACCTAGAAAGATACAGAAGTAGATACACACATTATACTGTTCTCCTGGTCTGTGAATTTACCAGTATACAACATTGCTTTAATTATTTTGGTTTACCAGCATCTTTGTATTTTTTGAGACGGGGTTTTCCTCTGTTGCCCAGGCTGGAGTGCAGTGGCACAATCTTGTCTCACTGCAATTTCTGCCTCCCAGATTCAAGTGAGTCTCATGCCTCAGCCTCCCGAGTAGCTGGGATTACAGGCGTGCACCACCATGCCTGGCTAATTTTTTTAATTTTTAGTAGACACAGGATCTTACGATGTTGGATAGGATAGTCTTGAACTCCTGACCTCAAGTGATTCACCTGCCTCGGTCTCCCAACGTGCTGGGATTGCAGGTGTGAGCCATGGTGCCTGGCCAGATTACTAGTATCTCTGAAAATCAGTTGAAGGCTACAGCTCTCTCACACTTTCCTCTATGTTTATGTTTTGTCCTCGTATTTTCATCATGGAAGTAGTTGTATCCTTTTTATATTCCATTGAGCGATTGTTTTATTCCTAGATATTTTAGCAAATTATTTATAAATGATTCTCTAGGTAAACAGCTTCAGAAAATAATGGCAACATTTTTAAGTTTTATACTTGTCATGCTTCTGATTTTTAAGATAATGGTTACACCACTTACAACCAAAACAGTAATGCTAATGTATGCTTGAAATAATATATTAATAAAATAATTTGCATTAAAAACAATTCAATTAATAGTGAACAATTCAATTAATAGTAAACAATTCAATTAATAGTGAACATCAACATTCACTGTTAATAGCAATTTTCCAACAGTACCTAAAGGAAAGGAGCTCTCTCTTTGAAACTGGTATGAAGACCCGGTCAAGCTCACAGTCTCCGAGGTCCACAGCCAGCCAGCAATTGCACAGGAAATGCCATTTCCTCTTAACTGCCATGTCACAGACAATTACCTGGGTGACATACCTATAGTAAAATGAAGAGAGTCATGTTAGGGAGGTGGGCTCGAATCAGTTGTTTGTAGTAAGACGTAATATCGCACCATTAGTAACTATCCAAATAAACAAACTGTTACATTGCAAGGCAAGAACTAAGGAAAGAAAGGAGAGTAGAGGCCAGACATGGTGGTGTGCGTCTATAACCCCAGCACCTTGGGAAGCTGAGGCAGGTGAATTGCTTGAGCTCAGCAGTGTGAGCCCAGCTTGGGCAACATTGCAAAATCCCATCTCTAAAAAATTAGCTGGGCATGGTGGTGTTCGCCTGTAGTCCTAAACTACTTGGGATGCTAAGGTGGAAGGATTATTTGAGCCCAGGAGGTCAAGGCTGCAGTGAGTTGAAATTGCAACACTGCATTCCAGCTTGAGTGACAGTGAGAACCCCACTCAAAAAAAAAAAAAAAAAA